TAGTTCAAAAAGTCAGCATTAATTCATATTGTTCGTTTGCACTGGATGTCATTATGATTTTAAGTTATAGAGTTTGACTTTTTTTCTTTGAATTAGGGAACTCATGACATTTTAATTGAAAAGCAATTTATCAAGGAGAAGGTCGCGAAATTGTTTGCTGATGTAGCTAGACGTGAATGGCCAACACGTTGGGCAGACATGAATAGCCTTTTGCGGAGTCTCTATACATCTAGTGTAAGCTTATTATTTTCTTCGATTTTCTCTTCTCTAATATTATTAACATTTGTTTATTTGCTCTGTTATAGCCAACGACACAAGAGTTGACCCTTATGATCTTTTGCTATCTTGGAAAGGAATCTGATTTACTAGATTCTTTGACTTGTATAATTACAAGCTACAGTATCTTGAGAGAGAAATATCCTGATGGTGTAAAAAAAGATAGTACAAGCTCGCGTAAAGACGAAATAATAATAATGCAAGGTGAGCCAGATAGTGAAGGCTGGTTGATGTTATGGGTAAGATCTTTGAAACAACTGTTAAATGAGCGGCAACGTCAGGTAAGAATTATATATCATCATTATTACAGTTGGTTATATGTGCTTAATTTGATCATCACATTTAAGAGTATATTGCAGTCGACTTCGTCTGTAATTTACGAGAAGCTAATAATCGCTACATTAAGTACCATTGCAATATATGTTGAGTGGATTATTGCAAGGTAATAATACTATCTATTCGTAGTTTCGATAATTATTAATTTAAGCCATTGAGATTTTGTGGTGTGAATCAATTCAACAGGTCCATTGCAGAAACGAATGTACTACTGGTATCATGCGAAAATCTTTTAAGTGACTGCTATGAAATAAGAATGGTAGGCTGTTATAAAACTATATTTAATATGGCTTTGAATAATACAGTATTATGTTCAATTATATCTTAATGTTATTATCAGGCTGCACTAGAATGTATTACTGCTATTTTTTCTCGTACCTTTCAAACACCGGAAGATCGTGCACTTGTTTTTGACCCTATTTATGAACAAAATGGCATGGAGCTATTGTTTTTGTCCTTTAAGATGATCCAACCAAGTCAAGATTTACTGCTTGAAGAAAACGATTATATATACTTTAAACAATATGTTGAGGTATGTTTCTCTTGTATCTAAAGCGCTAATCAACTGACAATAATAGTTGTAACGATATTGATTTATATTGATAGACCGTTGTTAAATTCGGTGAAAAACATATT